TAAGGGCTGTGTCTAGACTGCATCCCTTTTCTGTAAAAGGGATGCAAATTAGACACATCGCAATTGCAAATGAAGTGGGGATTTAAATCCCCCCCTGCTTCATTTGCATAAACATGGCTGCCGCTCTTTTCCAGCTAGGAGCTTTGCTGGAAAAAAGCACCAGACTAGATGCGGATCTTTCGGAAAATAAAGCCTTTTCCGAAAAATCCTTTATTCCTTATTTTAAGAGGAATAAGGGATCTTTCGGAAAAGGCTTTATTTTCCAAACGATCCGCGTCTAGACTGGCGCTTTTTTCCAGCAAAGCTCCGAGCCGGAAAAAAGCGGCAGCCATGTTTATGCAAATGAAGCGGGGGGGGGATTTAAATCCCCGCTTCATTTCCAATTGTGATGTGTCTAATTTGCATCCCTTTACGGAAAAGGGATGCAGTCTAGACACAGCCAGGTTGTAAGGCTTTAACGCTCCCAGAAGAGGGCTTGTTTACTCCACAAAGGCTTTGGTGGCGTACAGCTATGCGCACCAGTTCCCTCCTGGGGATACAGGATAAACGACCAGCTGGCGCTCTGCTGGAAGAGCTTCCCTCCACATTAGCTAACCTCCCCAAAGCATTCTTTGGTCAGCATCATTGTGTCTACACAGGGATAGCTACCGGAACAGCCATGTCACCTGGGGCTGCATGTGGTATTTTTCACACTCCTGGTCATACCAGAAAAATCTGTAGTGCAGCTGAGTGCTTGGGTGGAGAGATTCAAAGCCTGCCCAGATGATTAGCAGAGCGCCCACAGCCGGCAGCCTGTGTTTCTATTGGTGGTGCACATCCACCCATGCCATGGGCATAGGACAAAATGTATTCTGTACATGGATGGAAAAAATTAGAGGGAACATTGGCTCTAGCTACACTACAGCGTATGTCAGCCTAATTTATGTAGCATAAGGGGTGGGTGTAAACCACGCCAAGTAACAAATTGTGCTGGCATACGCAGTGTTGTGTCAGCGGGACAGCATCTCCTTCTGACAGTTTCTGCTGCCTGAGGAGTAGAGATGCGACCGGTTAACCAGTTAACTGGTAAGCGTCACCCTTGATAGGTGAGTCTTATTGGGCACAATTAATCATTGGGGGGGCTGGAGCAGTGCCCCAAGGGCAGAGGGCTGTTTCAGCACCATGGGGCCCACTGCAGGTGGGGGGGGCAGGGGCGGATATAGGGCAGGGCGAACGGGGCGACTGCCCCGGGTCCCACGCTTCAGAAAGCCCTGCGCATGCGCCGTGGCAAAGGGGGGGGGGCGCGGAATTATGCTGCCCGGGGCCCCGCAAAACAGTCATCTGCCCCTGGGGAGGGCACTCCAGTCTGGCTGGAACAGCTCCCATCCATGTCATGGGGGGGCCGTTCCAAACTGGAGGGGCCCTACTCCAGCCCCGTTTAATCGGTTAACCATAATGTTTAACCAGTTAACTAATGATACAGGATTTTACATCCCGATCACGGCGGTGATTTTAGTATGCCGGTGGCCTGGAAGAGCTCTCGCTCCCGTTGGCACAGAGCTTTTCACCCTGCCGCGCCGCAGTCACGCAGCTGCACCATCACAGTGCTGCATGAGTAGCCATGGCCTACGCTGGAGATACAGCAGTCTGGGGGTGCAGTTGGAGCAGGGAAACACAGGGCTTGACTACACTTGGAACACCACAGTGGCACATCTGGAGCGCTTCAGTGTAGACAAAAACTACAGCGACAGGAGGCGTTTTCCTGTTGGAGCAGTGAACCCCCGCCATCCCTGAGAGGAGGTAACTAGATCAATGGAAGATTTTTTTTCTTGCCCTAACACTGTCTACTGCGGGGGCTAGGGTGGTTTCCCTATGCCACTCCGGGAGGGGGGCTTTTTCACATTCCTGAGCGATGGAGCAGGGGGCGACTTAAATTTGTGTGTATAGACCAGGCCTCATTCCTGTGCAGGAAGTGCAATGAGCTATCCCGGGATAAGGCAGCTTTCTACTAGTACAAAGGGGTTGTACTGGGATGATGACAGCAGTGAACAGTTACACCCCTGG